ACACGTTCCGTGCCATGTGTACCACCGGTGGTACACGTTAAACCTGATCTTCTGGCCACGTGTACCACCGGTGGTACACGCAGTCATAGTTATTTAATTTATTTATTTTTTGCAATCGAACTGATCGCAACGCCACGTGTACACGATGTGATAGCTACTCTAAACAAGAGAACTACTTATCGATTGATATGATTTAACGATGTGATAGCTACTCTAAACAAGAGAACTACTTATCGATTGATGATGTAATACAAATGGCCTGAACGACAACAAAAGGCAAAAATCGCTTGCCACGGAACGTGATAAATTACAATGTGTGCTTTCTACAACATTTTTGACACATGATTCGAGGACAGAATTTCGAGGACAAAGTCTTCGTCGTGTTTCGCGCGCATCGTCGAGCTTTATTGCTGCCGATCGACGCTGTACAAAATTTAATCGACGCTGCAGAAAAATTTAACAGAGTTGCGAGCAAATGATTAACTTCTCAAGTTTCACAGCTTCGTTATAACGGCGATCATTAAAGGAATTAGCATGCTTTAAGCAGCATGACTTTTTCATTTGTATTTAATTCCTTGAAAGGAACGAAGGACCGTGTTCCCCATTAGGGAATGAAAGTATAATATGGCACGAATAGCTTCCAAGCCATTAGATGGGCTTTCTTGCCCGTTAGTTTTCGGCCCGTAATGGCCCGATAAAGAAATCATAAGCGTGTAAACCTAGCCCATTGGTAACTGCACTGAGCAAACGGCGTAAATATTATAGCGTCAATCATTGACGTATGGTGTGTATCGCATCATAAATTTGGCCATAAATGTGGTTGTTATCGGTGATTGCTTAGTGTAGCATAAATTCCCCTGTAAACGAATATGTACTGGCACAAATTCGATCATAAATAAGTGTATTGCCAACGTAAATTTAACCGGGAATAAGTTGATCGATCCAGAAAACCGTCGACGAAAGCGCGAACGTATGTAATTCACGAGGCGATACGTTCGTGAAAAATACCCCGATTTAATTGGTCAATTAAAAACTATAATTAGACCGATGATTTATTTATAAAAATTTATGTTCTTAGAAGAAATAAAATATTAAAGTATAGTAAAAATTCTTGCGTATGAAAGTTACAGGAGAAAATTTAATTCTTATCTTTCTCACTGATAAAGAAAAATAAGGAAGGATGTTTCAATGTATAATGCGTTATAGAAAGTTTCGACGGCTTTTCAAATTATGAAACATCTGTTAATTCAAACGCAAGATGATACTTCTAATTTCTTGCTATCCTGTCAAAAGTCGGCTAAAGTTTTAGCATCCGCGAGGAAGAGATGAATGCATCCTTCAAGATCTTATGGAAATTATCCAACCGATAATTTCGTTGTGCAAGGAAATGCACTGACGAGAACGCGGAGAACCGTAAAACTTGTGTACCAGCGCCCATTACACGATCGATACATTAAATGCACCGCGTGTAATTCACTCTTTTAAAACACACATACGTACGCGTAATTTATTTCTAAGTTCTCTTCTTACTCTCTTTATTTCGTTCAACAAAATTTTAATTAAGCTTTTGCAAAATGTTAGATCGTTTTAGTTGCTCCGTTTTTCCTACTTTCCCGTCTCCTTTTTCATTTTACTCGCGGAGTATTACTTTTGAAAATTCTGGAATAAAGTGGCAAACGGAGTGACAAACTAACTATAGGTTCAAGAAACGGGATAAATTTAATTCGGAGGTTAATCTCGACTCTACGTATATGTAGTTGCAACACGATATATAGATTTTCGATTGGGTGAGCTGTAATTTAATTAGAATTCGTAAAACGTGGAATAACGCGGAGAATTCATTTTGCACGTGTAAACTGGCCCACCTGCCCCGTGAGCTAAGTGTTTACATTTTGCTTATTAAACGTTCGTGGCCGACTGAACACAGAAATTTAATTTCTGTTTAATTGGATCGCCAGCAGCTGACTACATCTGCACATGAAACATTCATGATTCTGCGAGAAGACGGCGAAGTCAAAAATGCATGAATCGCGGCAGTGTGCAAGCGAATGCTAGCAAGCATCCTCTTCGGATCACTTTTTCTCCCAAATTTTCTCCCTTCTTTCTCATCTTTTTCTCAATTTATCAAAATATCGAATTACACTGTATTTCTCGTCGACTTGTTTGTTCGTTGCAAATTCATTTATTTTCGTATTCCCTACATTCCCGACTTGTTGTGTATTCATTTCAAGGAATTGTCAAGGAAAACGTTGAAACGTTCTTTCTGTGTGAAAATTCCAAGTCAGGAGAAACATCTGAAAGTATTTCAAGATTAAAAGACCACCAGAGGAAAACTTCCCTGTGAATTATTGCGCATGATTTTTCAAAATTTTTCAAGCGAAGCAACGCGCTCGCCCCGTGCGTTATGAATCATTTAACGAGAAAACGAAAATAAGGGTTGCTAAGACGCGACACGGACGCAAAAATATTCCAGTAAATCGACCAAAGTGTTGAAGAAATGCAAAAAGGGAATCGCCAATGTAACCGCTTCGTCTGGCTGCGAGCACGACCGCGCGAGTGGATGGTTTTTCATCCCTCTGCCGGGATTAACGTCCATT